TAATGATGATGGTGGTGATAATGGCCCCACGATCCTGGCGCCTGGTCCAGTCGCTTCTGGACGCAGCGGGAGAGGAAGCCACCGGACACCACGACGCGAACCACAACTCAATTAACGGGGGGGGGGGGGGGGGGTTGTGCAATGGTGGTCCGGACGAAGTCCGACGTTTCAGCCCATTCCCTGAAGAGAAAACAACCCGCAATGCGCAATGCCAGAGAAGGATTTGAATTTGAATTGGATTTGTATTGTACCACCAAAATACAGTAAATGTATACCGTCTACATACCGTACATATACTGTAGAGAGTTCAATCTGCTTGAATGTTGCTCTGCTGAGCGATTTGCGGCTTTGTTTCTGCTCTGTGTAGGCGCCGAGAGAACGCTCCGCGTGTATCTCGCGGGCTTCATTCCCATGCCGTCTGCTCGACCCCAGCTCGCCACGTCAATTCCACATTCCCTGCCCTCCGTCATCGCCCGGCGTTCCTCTCTCGCTTGTTACGGCTTCTTACCGACCCACATCTCGCCCGCCCGCCGCTGCCTCGCAACATTTAGAAGTCATTAGAATCACTTCTTTTATTTTGACAATAACCACAAACTTAGCTGAGCCGGAAAGATAAGCCCTGTCATACTTGAGTAATTATAGTGGAGCAGTGGTCCCGTGGTTCGCTCGCTGTAGGATAACCATAGATGGCACAGTTCGGATGGGCTACAGTGGGGAAAGTGGCGAGCCGAGTCCCACCCGAGTTTGACGTTTCAATAATGGACACGTTCCACTGTCACTGCCCGTCCAGCGTTCGTCCGTCACCCCTTGGATCAATTAGATTGCTCATTTTATAATTCTACGAAAATAAATCCGTGGCCATCAACCAATCGCAGCGAGTGACCGCACACTGCCTACACCAAGACGGGCAGTACCTGTACCATGTACACCGTGTCTCCGCCTCCGTCGCTTGTGCCGAGACGATGGAGATTTGCAAAACAAAGCCAAATGAATGGAGATGTCCCTCGCGACACGCAGATATAATGAAAAGGTAGCAAACACGTGACCGGTCAGCCCGGGGTGGTCGCTCCTATTCAGTTTCAGTATATTTGGTATAGACCTGTGAGCCATTCGGCTCTTGAATCGGGTGCAACCGCAACAAAACAAAAACATGAACAAGAAAACATCTTAAAGTGACTATGCGCAAACAGAAAAATCCAGGAAAAACCTGCAAAGAGATTCGCCGTCCCCTTGAGTCGGCTCTGCTGATGCCACGCGCGCCATCTTCACGTCACCCAGCACGCGGATCCAAAAGCGCAGAGCATCGCCTGTGACGTCGCACAGGGTCACACGCACCTCCACCAATCAGGGGCTCGCTGCGCCGCGTGCACGCGCCGCGGCCTCCACTGCACTGGGGGACACGGACAGACGCCTCGGCGACGGACTGTCAGCTCGTCGTGTCCACGCCATTATTATTTACATGGCCAGTGAGAGTGAGTTACTCAATAATCACACTCATTTCCAGTGGTTATCGCATCATTCACTGTTTATTGGCACCACAGAGAAACTGAAACCCCTAAAGGCACGACAACTCCACGTGGTCACCGACGAGGGACGCCCGCGGGACACTCGCCACTCGACCGCCTCCAACTCCCCGTGGCGCTGCACCAGCGCCCCCCCGTGGCCACGGCTGGGTGCTGGGTGTCCCTGAAGTGGCGTGAGGCTCGTGCTGGGTGTCCCTGATGTGGCGTGAGGCACGTGCTGGGTGTCCCTGATGTGGCGTGAGGCACGTGCTGGGTGTCCCTGATGTGGCGTGAGGCACGTGCTGGGTGTCCCTGATGTGGCGTGAGGCACGTGCTGGGTGTCCCTGATGTGGCGTGAGGCACGTGCTGGGTGTCCCTGATGTGGCGTGAGGCTCGTGCTGGGTGTCCCTGAAGTGGCGTGAGGCACGTGCTGGGTGTCCCTGATGTGGCGTGAGGCACGTGCTGGGTGTCCCTGATGTGGCGTGAGGCACGTGCTGGGTGTCCCTGATGTGGCGTGAGGCACGTGCTGGGTGTCCCTGATGTGGCGTGAGGCACGTGCTGGGTGTCACTGATGTGGCGTGAGGCACGTGCTGGGTGTCACTGATGTGGCGTGAGGCACGTGCTGGGTGTCACTGATGTGGCGTGAGGCTCGTGCTGGGTGTCACTGATGTGGCGTGAGGCACGTGCTGGGTGTCCCTGATGTGGCGTGAGGCACGTGCTGGGTGTCCCTGAAGTGGCGTGAGGCACGTGCTGGGTGTCCCTGATGTGGCGTGAGGCTCGTGCTGGGTGTCCCTGAAGTGGCGTGAGGCACGTGCTGGGTGTCCCTGATGTGGCGTGAGGCACGTGCTGGGTGTCCCTGATGTGGCGTGAGGCACGTGCTGGGTGTCCCTGATGTGGCGTGAGGCACGTGCTGGGTGTCCCTGATGTGGCGTGAGGCACGTGCTGGGTGTCACTGATGTGGCGTGAGGCACGTGCTGGGTGTCACTGATGTGGCGTGAGGCACGTGCTGGGTGTCACTGATGTGGCGTGAGGCTCGTGCTGGGTGTCACTGATGTGGCGTGAGGCACGTGCTGGGTGTCACTGAAGTGGCGTGAGGCACGTGCTGGGTGTCACTGATGTGGCGTGAGGCACGTGCTGGGTGTCACTGATGTGGCGTGAGGCTCGTGCTGGGTGTCACTGATGTGGCGTGAGGCTCGTGCTGGGTGTCCCTGAAGTGGCGTGAGGCACGTGCTGGGTGTCACTGATGTGGCGTGAGGCACGTGCTGGGTGTCACTGATGTGGCGTGAGGCTCGTGCTGGGTGTCACTGATGTGGCGTGAGGCACGTGCTGGGTGTCCCTGATGTGGCGTGAGGCTCGTGCTGGGTGTCACTGATGTGGCGTGAGGCTCGTGCTGGGTGTCCCTGATGTGGCGTGAGGCACGTGCTGGGTGTCACTGATGTGGCGTGAGGCACGTGCTGGGTGTCCCTGATGTGGCGTGAGGCTCGTGCTGGGTGTCCCTGATGTGGCGTGAGGCTCGTGCTGGGTGTCCCTGATGTGGCGTGAGGCACGTGCTGGGTGTCCCTGATGTGGCGTGAGGCACGTGCTGGGTGTCCCTGAAGTGGCGTGAGGCACGTGCTGGGTGTCCCTGATGTGGCGTGAGGCACGTGCTGGGTGTCCCTGATGTGGCGTGAGGCTCGTGCTGGGTGTCACTGATGTGGCGTGAGGCTCGTGCTGGGTGTCCCTGATGTGGCGTGAGGCACGTGCTGGGTGTCACTGATGTGGCGTGAGGCTCGTGCTGGGTGTCCCTGATGTGGCGTGAGGCTCGTGCTGGGTGTCACTGATGTGGCGTGAGGCTCGTGCTGGGTGTCACTGATGTGGCGTGAGGCACGTGCTGGGTGTCCCTGATGTGGCGTGAGGCACGTGCTGGGTGTCACTGATGTGGCGTGAGGCTCGTGCTGGGTGTCACTGAAGTGGCGTGAGGCACGTGCTGGGTGTCCCTGATGTGGCGTAAGGCACGTGCTGGGTGTCCCTGAAGTGGCGTGAGGCACGTGCTGGGTGTCCCTGAAGTGGCGTAAGGCACGTGCTGGGTGTCCCTGATGTGGCGTAAGGCACGTGCTGGGTGTCCCTGAAGTGGCGTGAGGCACGTGCTGGGTGTCACTGATGTGGCGTGAGGCACGTGCTGGGTGTCCCTGATGTGGCGTGAGGCTCGTGCTGGGTGTCACTGATGTGGCGTGAGGCACGTGCTGGGTGTCACTGATGTGGCGTAAGGCACGTGCTGGGTGTCACTGATGTGGCGTGAGGCACGTGCTGGGTGTCCCTGAAGTGGCGTGAGGCACGTGCTGGGTGTCCCTGATGTGGCGTGAGGCACGTGCTGGGTGTCACTGATGTGGCGTGAGGCACGTGCTGGGTGTCACTGATGTGGCGTAAGGCACGTGCTGGGTGTCACTGATGTGGCGTGAGGCACGTGCTGGGTGTCACTGATGTGGCGTAAGGCACGTGCTGGGTGTCACTGATGTGGCGTAAGGCACGTGCTGGGTGTCACTGATGTGGCGTAAGGCACGTGCTGGGTGTCACTGATGTGGCGTAAGGCACGTGCTGGGTGTCACTGATGTGGCGTAAGGCACGTGCTGGGTGTCACTGATGTGGCGTGAGGCTCGTGCTGGGTGTCCCTGATGTGGCGTGAGGCTCGTGCTGGGTGTCACTGATGTGGCGTGAGGCACGTGCTGGGTGTCACTGATGTGGCGTGAGGCTCGTGCTGGGTGTCCCTGATGTGGCGTGAGGCACGTGCTGGGTGTCACTGATGTGGCGTGAGGCACGTGCTGGGTGTCCCTGATGTGGCGTGAGGCACGTGCTGGGTGTCACTGATGTGGCGTGAGGCACGTGCTGGGTGTCACTGATGTGGCGTGAGGCTCGTGCTGGGTGTCACTGATGTGGCGTGAGGCTCGTGCTGGGTGTCCCTGATGTGGCGTGAGGCTCGTGCTGGGTGTCACTGCCTTCGTGTGGTTGCTCAAGCACACAGACGCACCGCACCACGCCGAACAGGACACGCACCACATGTCGCCATCACTTCCTTCCTTCTGCCAGTCTCCGCAGCTGTCGCACGGTCGACAGCGACCTAGCAAGGTACCGCGCTTGCAGTCCCATCGAATGAGGTGAAATATTTTAATAAAAATCACCGAAATACTCAACAAGACATTTCCGTAGTCACCGGACCCGCGCGGGGTAGCGCCCCCTACCGGCCAGGGTCGCGTTCTCCCCGGCGCAGGTGGCCAGGAAAGGCCGAGGGCTGCACAGGCCGCGTCCGCGGGCCTCGTCTCCCACCCTCACCACGACCCCAACCCCCGCGTCTCCCTCCCTCGGCACGACCCCAACCCCCGCGTCTCCCTCGCTCGGCACGACCCCAACCCCCGCGTCTCCCTCGCTCGGCACGACCCCAACCCCCGCGTCTCCCTCGCTCGGCACGACCCCAACCCCCGCGTCTCCCTCCCTCGGCACGACCCCAACCCCCGCGTCTCCCTCCCTCACCACGACCCCAACCCCCGCGTCTCCCTCCCTCGGCACGACCCCAACCCCCGCGTCTCCCTCCCTCGGCACGACCCCAACCCCCGCGTCTCCCACCCTCACCACGACCCCAACCCCCGCGTCTCCCTCGCTCGGCACGACCCCAACCCCCGCGTCTCCCTCGCTCGGCACGACCCCAACCCCCGCGTCTCCCTCGCTCGGCATGGCTCTGCTCCGCCGGGCGGGCTGCTGGACCTGCGGCCTCGTGGCGAGCGGCGTGGGCCCGGGGTTCGGTGAGTGCCAAGGCCCCGCGCAGCGGCCGAGTCGAGGTCACCCATCGTGGTGGATGACGCCGCCTTCATTTGCAGCGGCACAACGGCAACAACACCCTCAACGCATTCACAAATGACGCCGCGGCTGTATCATGGCATAGACTGTACTGTGTGTATACAGTAATGGGCGACGTTTCGGGCGACGGCTCTGCGCGTGTTGTTTGGCTGGGTGTGATTCACGGTTTGCATATTCACACCGTGTCATTTGTAAGTTCTACACGTGTGTGCGTGCCTGTACACACACGCACGTGTCAGTGCATGTGATTGCTTCGTAGAAGCGGCACAAATCTTGCAAAACGAGATGTTGCATCTCACGGGAGGTTTTCCAGGTGAATTTATTTCAATACAAAAAATGGGGCCCTTCAGAAGTGATGGAGGTGTTCGTCCTAATCTTGTGTTGTCTCAACTACGCCAGAAACCCTGTACGGGAAACGCATAAACAGTCATGCACAAGGTCTTGTGTGTGTGTCGTATAACTCTCATACTGGAAGGAACCACCTGGTTCCACCAGCCCACAGGGGAGTATTGTGTCCGTCCGTCGTGAATCCAAAAATGGGAGGGTGGGGCTGGGTGGGAGGTGGGAGGGGTGGGGCTGGGTGGGGGAGGGGCTGGGTGGGGAGGGGCTGGGTGGGAAGGGGAGGGGTGGGGCTGGGTGGGGAGGGGCTGGTCACCCCGTGGTGCCCTTATAAAACTCAACGTTTAACCTACTCACGCCGGCTTGTGCCCGCCCTCACAGTCGGGCATATTTGCGGAATGCACCACGCCGCCGTTGACCCTGGCCATTGACCGAGCAACCCAACGTTCCTACACCAGCTCCCTCCGCAGGAATGTGTTACTTTTCCGGCATGCACTATTCTGTTCATCACTTACATGTTTCCGTACTGTGTTTATTCTGTGGTCTGCCACAGTTGCTATTTAAAAGTACGATGTTGGCCCTCAGTAAGTTCAAAGGTTATCCTCCACCCGTGATCAGGATCTCCAGCGTTTGGATCTCTGCACCCGTGCCTTTCGTGGGCTCTAAGGGTCAAGTTTTGCTGCCATTCACCTCATGCACGTGAACCAATCTCATCGCTCCATCTCCACCCTGTGGCTGTCATATTCGATAATAATGGTCTTTACCATTTATAAATGTAACTCAAGATGATAATTTGCTTCGTCCTGGAGAATATAAGTAGCAAAATGAACAGACAACACATGCCTCACACACCGGAACCTGTCACGTAAAAAAAATGTTTTTAACACATCCCATCAGTTCTAAATTTTAAGCTTTCGTGACTGCAAGGGTTCATACTCTTTGGTTCTTCGATAAAGTCACGTAGGTAAAACAATCAATAAAATAAAATAAATGAAAACAACTAAATTAAATCACGTTTCGGAGGCAACACAAGCTTCCTCCATCAGGTGTAAACATCCCATGAGGCTCGTGGCCTTCTGGATGCACACACACACATATATATGGAGGAACAGGGACACGAAGGAGGCATTTTATCTGCTTGTTTGTTTAAATGTGATGTCTCCTTTCACCCTCCATCAGCATGCCCAGTGAGGAGGGCTGCTCCTGCCCTGGGCCCGTGGGCCCCGTTCGCGTCGCAAGCGGCGACCTCCCGCTACAGGACACGCCAGGCCCCGCAGGCCCAGGATTCGGCAGGGGCAGCGGGCGGCACGCGACAACGCGCAGAGGGGGGAGGTGGAGAGGGGAGGCTCACGGCAGCGGAACTCCTGGAGAAGATGAGGTCTCGGGGAGATGCAAAGCCAGCTCGTGGCAGCCGGAGTCGCACCAAGCATCAGGTTTCCATTTCACTGTTTGTGTCTTTCTATGATAGATTAGCTAAAGGGTTATAATTAAAGAGGAATGAATAACCGGCTGCAAAACAACCGTCCATCACAATGTTTTCGTCGATAAATTGACTTAATGAACTATTGGATAGACACTAATATGACTTGTACAGTCATTATCACCCTCGATCAATCCGTTGTTGAATGAAGGCCTCCCAAAGCACCACCCTTTTATGTAGCAATTCATCTGGCACCTGCACACGAGCTGATTGCATCACTGTGGTCCGTGGGCCCAGTGCAGTTGCACTGCCTGCATACTCGAGCTACACCACTGTCCTCCCAACTGCAACTCTAACAACAGCAGATTGTTGGTAGATCACTAACAAGAAGACTACCCGACAGCCTCGCCTTGAGCGGATGCACATCATGTCAATGTGTGCTTTCCCTGCTATTTCCTCCCACCCTCCTCATTGCTGAGCAGGCTGCAGACCCCGATGACCCCGTGAAGAGGCAGGCGCAGCACTTGAAGAAGCAGACGACCTTACTGCAGCACGTACATCCCACGGTGCTGGCAAAAGCACTGCTCAAGAATGTGATCCACCAGCAGGTGGGTGAGGGTGGATGGCATCTGCTTCTTCACCACCTCTTTCATCATTGTCGTAATTTTTTATATTTTTGCTGTGCTTCGTGTGTCATTACATCTCAATACATACGCTATTTTTTTACATTTTAACCAAAAAACCACTGATCTATAAACACAATAACAAACCAAATCTACTGTACAAATAAACATACACTCGCTCACCGGTGGTCTGTCACCTCCTTATCACTCTGCTGTTGCTCCTACCATAGTTACTGTTTCCATCAACTTCCTTCGTTGGTTCCTTCACCCAGATTGAGACTCTCTACCAGACAGACTGTTTCTCTCATAGACGCCGTTCAGCCACCATACTGAACGACAAAACACTTCTCTTTCTGCTTCTTTCCTCGCACTGCACCACATCGGAATTCCCTTCCATCGTCTCTCTCCCAAGTTCTTACAGCCTTGCTCATTTCAAGAAACCTGTTAATTATCCATCAATTACACATTCTGTTCGTTGCTTGCCACTTTATGTTTTGGGCCTTTGAGCCTTTGAGCCTGTATTCAACACAAGCTGAAATGCCCAAAATAAGTATGAATTATTAATCTGTGTATTCATATAATGCACACGGCTAATTGTTCATAGCTAATTTTAAAACTGCAACTAATTAGTCTGATCTGTAATTGATCCAAGCTTGTCGATGCAGTGATGGTCTGGCAGACCGTCCTTTTAACCTCGGTACCATTTAGCAAAGGCACACTCGACAGTTGTGATGTTGATGCAGGGCACCTGAAGGACTTTGCTGTCTGTTCGTGAACCTGAGAGTGCTCTCAGAGATGTGCAGCTGCGACAAGTAGATACATAGGATGGTCTGAGGTGTGTTGGTTAGTATTTTGGCCAGAGTGCTCCACCATTAGATGTGTGTCGGGGGCGTGTTGGCTAGGGGCCAGAGTGCACCGTGACTAGAGAACACGGTTTAGCACTTAAGTTACTTGCCCGTGGTCTGTTGATATAGCCGAGAAGTTGAAATGGGCATAAATTATTTAATGGTCATTAATTATTTTCGGGTTTTTCTGTTATATTTCACCATTGTGCATTTCAGGATTGTACAATTTACTTCCGAGACCAGTTGCTATCCCAGTGCTCAGGTCTATAACATATTTGAACTAATTATTTATTTGCTAATTTGCGAATGTTCTTGGCTTTATTTTACGTGTAGTTACACCATCAAATGTTATAATTACTGGGTTGCATTACTTTTATGTAGTGATGCATTTGTAACATCAGTCATGATGATTTCACTGCAGGATGAAGGACTCCCAAATTTTCCTCAAATCTAATGATCTGCCTAGCACCTGCACATGACCTAGTTTCATTGCTCCATCTCCTTGGTGAACGTGCTCTCATATCCATTCCCATTCCTTGGTCGCCATTGTCTTTATTCTTCGGCCATCATTCTTCCCAGCAACGTGTCCTGCCCATACCCTGATTGTTGTGCCACGTTCTCTGCTTTGTTATCATTCTGTTCCTAATAATCTTTCATTGTTGTGTCTATATTCCCCTCTGCAAGTGAATGAAAATGCAATGATGCAATTATTTGTTTTCAAATCTGTTCATTGAATCGCCGTTGACCGGCCGGTTACCTTTAACGATGAACCTCTCACGCCGCCACCCCTCAGCGGGAGCTGATCGTTGTCAACAAACCGTACGGCATCCCCGTGCACGGAGGTCCCGGGGTGGGCGGCAACAACGTGGCGGCCGTGCTGCCCGTGCTGGAGCAGCTGTTAGATGGTCACCCCTCTCGCCACCGTCACCACCGCAAAAACACCACGGCCGGCGACGACGCCACCGCATCAAAACTCTACCTGTGCCACCGGCTGGACCGCGACACGACGGGAGCGCTGGTGTTGGCCCGGAACGCCGAGGCAGCCGACGCCGTGGCCTCGCTGCTCAGGGAGCGGCGCGCCGAGCGCACCTACTGGGCCGTAACGGTGGGGGTGCCGCAGCCCGCCCGGGGCGTCGTAGACCTTCCCGTGGGCGAGCGCAAGCACGAGGGGCCCGACGGAGTCACCTACCGCATGGCCGTCATGCCGAGGTTCCACTACGTCGACGCCAGCAATGCCCTCGTGAGAAGTGAGTACTCGTCTTCTCTCTTTTTGTCATTCGTCACATAGAGATACGGGTGGGGAACGTTCGGAAACTAGTCATATTATGTAGGGCTGGCCCCGCTGAGGTACAAAAAACCAGGACACATGTAAATATAAATTTAACACTACCAGAAGAAGGGATAACTACATGTAAATGCTTTGTGTTCAGTGGTATTTTATTACACAACTTACAGAAACCGGGGCATTTCATTTCTTGAGAAGATTTACAGATCTCGCCGCCTGTACCCATGTGTGTTTGTGTGCGTCTCTCAGGGCGACTGCCACGGGGAGCCCGGATGGCCGTGACGCAGTACCGCGTGTTGGCGGAGGGCGCGGGAGGCCGCAGTGCGCTGGTGGAGCTGAGACCTCTCACGGGACACAAGCACCAGCTACGCGTGCACCTGGCGCTCGGGCTCGGCACCCCGGCGCTCGGAGACCACAAGTACTCGCCAAGGCGCCAGGGCCAGGGACTCGTGCCGCAGCGGCTGTCGCCAGCACTTCTGCGCAAGCTCGGACTCGCGTGAGGATCACCTCTTGATTCACCACCACACAGATTCGATTCGCGGTCATCATTCAGGGGCTGCGAATTGACTCCAGAATCAAGTCGTTTGTTTTTATCGTGAAACCCTCCATCACCCAACATAGGCAAGCAAATTCAAGTGCCACTTGTCCAAGCGTTTAATATTCCGATTATCTTTTCAGCCCACCGGTAAGTTGATGAACAATTCGCGCAACCAAATGCAGCAATTGGATATCTTCTTACTGACCCCTTCCTCACCGCGCATCTCCCTCCGTCTCCTCTCCGCGTGTCGCAGAAGTGGGCAGGAGCGGCCGGCGGCAGGAGCCGCGCGCCGCGTGCCCCTGCACCTCCACGCGTGCCGCCTGGTGCTGCCGGGCCTGGGCCACGGCAGAGATCCCCTCGTGGTGCAGTGCCGCCCCCCGAAGCTCTTCATGCAGAGCCTCAAGAAGCTGGGCATCCAGCTCCCTGAGGTGGAGGAACAGGAGGAGACCTCCCAGTAGGGCAACCCCCCCACAGTGCCCTCAGCACAAGTGGAGATACTGATGTCGGCATGGGGTGGTGCATCCAGTTCCTAGCGCACCGTACAGAATGGTGGATGATCCAGCACCCACTGGTTCACTCTATTTTCACTCTTACTGCAGTCTCTCTGCTATTGCTACTAGCCTCGTCCTATTGTCGTATACTTCACTCAGTGCTTCCTCCACCCATGCTGAGGACTAAAAGGCTGAGAGTTTAGTTTTACACACACTGTGTTCACCACATAGCAGGTAATAATAACACACCAACCCGCTCACCCACACAGCAATTCACCCTCCCATAGGCTCTTTTCCCAAGTTCTTACAATCTTGCCCAGTTAAATAAACGTATTAAACCTTATCTATTATACCTTCAAATTGTGCTGTCAGTTGTGGGACGCGTGGAGTTTTCGACCTTTGGGCCTGCGCTCGGCCACCGTGACTAAAACATCGTACTGCCTGCATGGCCAAGGTGGTCGGGTGACTTGGGAGGCCAGGGTGTGGTATCGGTAGTAGGGTGCGGAATGTTACATTCTTCTCAGTTGACTGGTGTAATGAGGACGAGTCCTCCACAAGAGCCAGCCAACAGCTAAACATACAGTCATCATTAAATGGTTGCGGTGGCCGGATGGCTCAGAGGTCAGCACTGAGACAGCAAACCCAAGAACCTGGGTTCAAATCCACGATTTCAGCTGCCTGGAATGAAACCGATTTCTCAGGTGTAGCAAGTTGATATTATCAGCCCCATTAACCAATGATTTATACAGTCCCATTTGAAAAACATATTGGCTGAATTCCTATGGAAATTGTAAAATAAATCTGTCATGTAACAATCATTTCCCAGGAGCAGAGTTTGAGAAAAGGGTGCCTCCTCCTCGTGTGTGGGTACCGGGGTCTTAAAGGGATCTTGGAAGTATGCCGAGCAAATTTTTTTAGCCCATTCTCTTGAACTGGGTGATTCACTGCTCACTGAAAATTCCAAGCGGATACTCCGCCCCATGACATGCTGCCCATAGCACATTTGGAATTATATTGCGAAGAATAGACTTGTGCGTTCTGTTCATGGCGTCGTCGTGTTTACTATGCAAAAAATAAAACTTTATACTTGAAGCTCGTGAACGGCTGTGTTTGGAGTTGTTTGATGGGGTCTGTGGGAACTGAAGTTGATTCAGGTCCCTCCACGATTGGAAAAATACATTCATGTGGTGTGCAGAAGGCCCATTGCCCGAAACGTCACCTGATACTTTCCTTTTAAGGCCACACTGGTATTGACAAATGTGTTGAGTTTTCTTTTAGTTGGAGCGATGGCACCGCGTGTGGTGGCTATCAGTCGTCAGCCATAATCTATCCACTGCTGGATGGACATTATTCGTAGGCGTGTCGAGGCTCTGCAATGAAATTGCGTTTTCCACATCTGAATATTTGTATCTGTAAATGGATAAACTAAGTTGATCCCTCAACCTGACCCAAGGCCGACTGCAACCAGTCACATTTCTCCGGGAGGAATCCGATGGGCTTTGAAGCTCTTTCACAGATTTCCAGTGGGGGCGGGTTAGAACGTAACAACAACAACACTACAACAATAACAACAACACTACAACAATAACAACAACACTACAGACACAACAAACACACGCAAGGTAAACATCACGTAAAGATACTGTACTAGTAACGAATTGACATGCTCTGTTTACGTGACAAACCTTACCAATTGGCTGTATTGGGTGGTGGCGGGTTTAACGACACGTTTATATTTACGCGATCTCACCCCATTAAAAACCTCTTATGGGTGATATTGGTCCAGAAAGCCGGCCACGTGTTTAACTTAAGAATGCAGTCTACACAAATACTGCTACACAGTTTACTTTATCTTACTAGGTAAGGCCCACTGGATAATATTCCCCCCTTTAGCTTTATCGCACTTTAATTGCCAACACCGAGGGATGAGGAGGAGGAGGGGGGGGAGTGAGTAAATGTTGACTGCGTGAACTCTACGGAGTCGCTGCGCTGGAAAGTAAAACGCCACTTTAATAATTAAACAAGTCGCCGCGAGAGCCGCCGAGGCGCCGTAGCGGTGACGTAGCAGTGACGTAGCAGTGACGCGCCACTCGCCGCGCCGGCCGCGTCCCTTCCTCGCCGGAGCTGCTGCTGGTGGTTGTTGTGGTGGTGCTGGTGGTGGTGCTGGTGGTGGTGCTGGTGGTGGTGGTGGTGCTGGTGCTGCTGGTGCTGGTGGTGGTGCTGGTGGTGGTGGTGGTGCTGGTGGTGGTGCTGGTGGTGGTGGTGGTGCTGGTGGTGGTGCTGCTGGTGGTGCTGGTGGTGGTGCTGCTGGTGGTGGTGGTGGTGGTGCTGGTGGTGGTGCTGGTGGTGGTGGTGGTGCTGGTGGTGGTGGTGGTGCTGGTGGTGGTGCTGCTGGTGGTGGTGCTGGTGGTGGTGGTGCTGGTGGTGGTGGTTGTTGTGGTGGTGCTGGTGGTTGTTGTTGTGGTGCTGGTGGTTGTTGTGGTGGTTGTTGTGGTGGTGCTGCTGGTGGTGCTGCAGCTGCTGGTGCTGCTGGTGGTGGTGCTGGTGGTTGTTGTGGTGCTGGTGGTGGTGCTGCTGGTGGTGGTGCTGGTGGTTGTTGTGGTGCTGGTGGTGGTGCTGCTGGTGGTGCTGCAGCAGCTGCTGGTTGTGGTGGAGGTGCTGGTGGTGGTGGTTGTGGTTGGAGTCGTCCGAGTCGTTAATGGAGTAAAGTTGGCCAGATCAAGTTTGACGCTCGATGCCTAAACAATCGATGGTACATCAAGGCGACCCTCCCCCGTCTGCAAGCAGAGAGCGAGCGAGACGTATGCGGGGCTCGGGCCGTGGCGACTCGGGAGGGGATCGGGGTCCCTGGTCCCCTTCCCTCGTCCCGAGGTCATCGGTTCCCTCCCGACTGGGAGCCACCACCCCCAGCAGAGTCTCTGCTTCCCTATCCCCTCTCTCGAATCAGGATCCATGTTGCTCCTCTCCTACCTACCCCGACTCGGGGTCCCCTCTCTCCTAGGACCCCAGTCAGGGACTTGCCTCACCCTAACCTCGTGGCATTGGCCCCTCCCAATCTCCTCTCTCAGTATACACAAATACTACTACTCTCTCCTGCTACCCCGGTCTCTAATACAGTACCGGGCTCTCTGCTCCCCTATCCCAACCCCTGCCCTTGAACCCCCTCTCTATGGTCTCCTGATTGCCTCTCTGCCTTCTCAGAGGCAATTAGCACAGGACAGTATAGGAATGGATTCTTGAATCCGTCTGTGTGGAGCTCTGAGTGTTTCCCCCTTGTGCGTGGTGGGTGTTTCTCTTGGGCCCCAGTTTCCGCACACATGTCACGTTTAAAGGAATTGGCTGCACATCTGGACAGGGCTTGAATGGCGATCAATCTACAGACAGGTAGTGAGTGATGGGGCCTGCGGGGCTAGGTGGTGGTCAGTAGAGGGCAGTCCAGCAAAGCACGTGTGTACTGTACAGTACTTCTATGCTTCCACGTCTGTGATGTTGTTGCAATGACCACCGTGGTAAAGTATGGTCACGTGTAACTGGCCAAAGGTTCCCAGGAAGCATTGTGCCATGTGAATGACTCTTGTGACCCCTCTTTCCCTCAAATGGTCATTGGGTAATTTTGTATTTGCGCCAACCTCGTAGCGCAAGGCTGTTGTGAAGGTGCTACGTTACGCAGATGGGTAGAGTCAGCCAGTAGGGGACACAGGTGAATTGACACGTACATTGACACATGGCCCACTTGAATAAATGTCACGTTATCTTTAACAGCCACTGCAGAGCAGACGACGCGTGGTATTGTGATTGCGACACCTGCCGCATTAACCAAGGTGGCCTCTGGCCTCGAACCGGCAAACACGCTCCCGCTCGGCCTTGTCACCGGCCATTCTTGTGTTCTCAGGTTCCAAGTACCTCGCTCCTGGCTCCGAGGGGACCCTGAGGGACCCCGGGAACCCCGTTGACGGGCGGTGGAGGTGGTGGAGCCGAGAGGACGATGCACAGCTCGCTGGAGTTTGAGACGGAGCCGGTGCGCAAGTCGCCCATGATTCACGGCAAGGAGCAGACACGAGCCTCCATGATGCAGATGGTGAGGGCTGCCTTCCTCACACCCGTGCATGCGTCTACATGGCCACTGTGCATGAGAATGGGGACTTCAATTTATCGTCATCATCATCTCTGAAATTCACAGCGCCTTGCGCCATTCTCACCTCAATCCTTCCAGTGCCCTGCTGCAGTACAGCCCATTGCGCTGCACCATATGTCACATCTTCAGTCCCACTGCACCAGCCAATCACCTTCCAGGAAGATGACACCCATGCAACGTGATAACCATTAAGTCATTATTCGGTGCACTTGAGCCAGTGTGTTAATGTTGTAAATGTCAATAACGTTAATGCGATTGACTTTATTGATCATTAATGTAATTGATTATGAAATGTTATTGGTTACGGTCGAATTGTGAGCCATCAGGACCGCTCTTAAAATGTATCGTAACTTTCCGACGCCCATTGTAGTCACTCATTTACTTGGAGTCGTGAAAAAATATTGTCTTGAACCAAATGTAAGACATTGCTACGATGTTGTCAGTCAATACGTACCCTGGCCCCTGGTCTCTTGTGTGCAGGCTTCCATGGGCAGCCACTCTCCCAGCAGCCCGCTGTCCCCGCTGGCCGAGGTGGCAGGTGCCGCCCCCCCCCTGCTCGCCGTGCTGGAGCCAGGGGGGGACGCCGACCTCCCAGGGGGCCTCTCCCTCTTCCCCAGCCTTGACAGTGTGGCCGGCATGGCTGCCTCACACGAGCACGCCGACGGGTATGTGAGAGGGGGTCACAAGCTGCCCTACAGACACCCGGCTTGGCTCACAGGCGCCTGGCCACACCTGTCTCGGTCCACTACACTCAACCCGTAAGGCAGCACATAACCTGGCTAATCAGACCGCCCTTTGTGTGGTACGATGATGGCAGGGACCCTCCTAATGATCCGCCCGAGAAGACCAACATGACGTGGCTGGATGCAGCACAGGTGAGCGAGCGGCAGACCTCGTCCGTGACACCTCACGGACGGCCTCCATTTCACCCACCTCCGTCCAGCTGCTGGGAACCCAGCAACACAACACAGGCACGGAAGCCACAATCTGATGCCACGTGGCAACCGTCACCTGGCCGAACTAATCCTCACAATTCAAAGTCACTGTTTAGAATCATTGTGGTGAATATGAGCAACTAAATATGCAGACAATTCGTCTTTTTCATATTCCGGTATCGACATACAGTATCTAATCAGAAAAACTGTCAAAACCACTCCAGAGTTTGCTGTTCTTGAGCCAATGCTGTTTTAAAAATGCACTCCCAGAAGGCCATGCGGATGATGGGTTGTGTCAGTAATACTTATTTGTTTTGTTAATCTTAACATAGACTTGTGAGCTGCTATGCATCCTGAAATATCCAAGAATAACACTTCACACCCTGAGCGTGGAAGCTCAGCCTCACGTGTATGGGACCGCAATTGCCGTTAAATTTTGGAGACTTACTTTTGATGTTCGTGTAAAGTGTGTTTGTTCAATACACTTTACAGTTGTGTGTTTATGTGTGTGTGTGCACCGCGCAAAAAACTTGGCGACACAGATTCGATTCCCACTCAAGGCCAACTCCAGTGACGAATGTTTGAACTGTCCTGGGTTTCCCCTATATCGACTCAGCCTCAAATGAGTACGTGGTGTGATGTGTAAACATCGCCACTGGGGAGACAAAGGCGGTCGGGCATGGTGCTGGCCACCCACCCCCTCCGTGAACCGTTTTAGCCTTCATAGGTGCTACATGCAAACAGCACTTTCCCCAACAGTCTTTTAAGTGGATCTTTGTCTTTGTTTGTACAGCTGGTGCTGGAAGAGGCCGGGAAGCCTCTGCACATCAAGGAAATCAAGCAGCGCGTGCTGGAGGCCGGCCTTGTGCAGTCCAGGTCTCACCACACTGATGCATCACAGCACAGTCACACATAGCAGCGCTGGTTCAGCCAAATCGGCACGGCCACACATAGCAGCGCTGGTTCAGCCAACATGGCACAGCCACACATATGTGTCTGTCTGTCTGGCCGTCTAAAATACAAACATATGCTCGTTAATTCGACTGTCTTTGTTTCACCCTCATTGCTACAGCTCAAAGTCAAGCCTGGAGGCAGTGATGTATCGAGAGGTGAGGAACACGCATGGTGGTTTTGGAAGTGGTGATCATTGCCGTCGGACATCTTTTACCTCTTTTCCACTGCAGAACCCGACCCGTGCCAATAACGTCGCGTGCATTGAACTAGTCGCGTCACATTTAGATGATGTGGTGGTGACGCTGCGTCCTCACAGTGTCCTGCTTGACGTCACATGCAATGAATGCGTCATTGACCCCGCGCCTGGCCCAGCTTGGCTCCCAAACCGCACGATGAGGCCAGAGTTTCCATTGTTTCTGGCTCAGTTTGGAAAATTGGGGAAAAACACCAACCCCGTTCACTGAGGGCCCGGCGCTAGTGTGGCTCAGATGTGCTTGTGGACAAGGAGTCTTTGTTTCCCGCTGCCCGCCATGCTTGGTGAGCACCCCCCCCCTGTCTTCGCATGTCATCAAATTCCAGACACAGAAGGGAAGTCGAAGGTTCAAGCGGATCGAGAACAGGAACGGGGTCTTTGCGCTACTGGTGAGAACCGCGCATGAAACCAGCACTGCTATCTTTTTATCGTTACACCTTTTTAGCTGTTTCAGGAAGGTGTTGCCAAGTTTTCACAGTAGCAGGCAATGATTGCCACGGTGTTTAATCCCATTTAAGTAATTATTACTCATTTATATTATAATTTATCATCATCAGTGGTGGAAATAGACCCGAATACGATGGTACACCGTACAAGCACTTCTCAGCACATCAAAAACATATCCAAACTTTTCAGATTTGTTTTAATCGTATACTGTTATGTTTTCTGAATGTGAGAAAAGCAGTCAACATGGACGATAATTCACGAGCCTTTTGCCCGTCCAGGGACGGGTGCATTGCAGTAAATCTGAAACTTGCAAGCGACAAGCAGCCCGCGACGTGATATTCACTGCATCAGTGCGCGTGCAGTGTGTGAGGGCGCGGTGACACAGGCCTGTTTCATTTTAAATGTCTCAACAGCGGTACGGAGATCGCGTGACGTGAGGGTTCTGCCTTTGTTGTGAGGGCTGTAAGTTGACGCCGAGGAGGGGGGAGGAGGCTCCTCGGCCCCCCATGTGGAGTGACGTCACTTTGTAATGATTATTAATGGCGGGGGGGGGGGGGTGTGACCATTTGGAGGACGTCACCTGCTCATTATTATTAATGAGGGGGGCTGGTCGACGTGAAGTGACGTCACTTGCGCATGATTATTAGTGAGGGGGGGAGTACTGCATATTGAGTGACGTCACTCGCTCATGATTGTGAATGAGGAGGGGTGGGGGGGGTGTCCATGTGGAGGACGTCACCTGCTCATTAATATTAATGAGGGGGGCTGGTCGATGTGGAGTGACGTCACGAGCGTTAGGGAAACAGACATTCCTGGGTGATATTCTTAGGTGTTTTCGGTAAAGTCACGTAGGTAAAACATCAAAATTAATAAAAATAATAAAATAAAATAAAGATCACGACGTTTCGGAGGCAACACAAGTCTCCGTCATCAGGTGGGACAGTCACAGCCAGATTAGCTGCATCAAGTGAGGCAATGATTCAAGATGTGATCCCTTAAAAGCGAGTTGAGGGGGGAGGAGAGGGGGGGCGGGGCTCATCAGAATGTGGTAGCCAATGAATGGAAAGTATCGGGAGAGAGGGGCCAAAAAAGGGTGGGCGACGGCCCCTCTCTCCCGATACTTTCCATTCATTGGCTACCACATTCTGATGAGCCCCCCCTCTCCTCCCCCCTCAACTCGCTTTTAAGGGATCACATCTTGAATCATTGCCTCACTTGATGCAGCTAATCTGGCTGTGACTGTCCCACCTGATGACGGAGACTTGTGTTGCCTCCGAAACGTCGTGATGTTTATTTTATTTTATTATTTTTATTAATTTTGATGTTTTACCTACGTGACTTTACCGAAAACACCTAAGAATATGATTCCTTGCAGTCACGAAAGCTTCAAGTCTAGAATTCCTGGGTGATTATAGTCGGTATACCAAGAACATAGAGTTACATTTTGACCATCGATCATAATTTATTATTGATACAAAATATTTGGTGGTGATAATGCATTGGCAGTGGTGCACACGCACAATTAACAACTCAACACAGCCGTCAATAACACTGGCCTTGAAAGGAAAAGTTTCCAATCGGTGATGTTTCAGGTAACAGGCCAGAGAGAGTGCATGAGGAGGGCTGGATGACCTAATATAATCTATAGAGTCACAGACAAACCGTTCTATAATCAAACGTGTATGACAAAATTAACTAATTTATAAGAAAGTGCAATTATTAAATATTGCTGGCACATTGCATTTTATGTCCAATTTAAAAACATCAGGAAACATTCTCAAATGTCAATCGTATCAGGCAGCCATGGTAGGGAGTCTCCAACATCTTCTCCACTCTGCCTCTCTGGCCTATGAAGAAGGCCGTTGCCTGCGTCGTACCATACCCCGGCGTGAATGTGCAACCGCCCCAGACGCAAGCCGAGCGGCAGCAGCAGCTCCTGCACTGCTACTCCGCCACCGCCGCCACGAGCGCCGGCAGGGCCTTCGCCCTTCCCTCGCACCGCGCCTCGTCCCCCTCCGCGGCGCCGGCCCGCCTGGCCCAAGCCTCGCCGGCACCCAACCCCCGCGGGGCGCCGTCCCCATCGGCCTCCGCGTCGGCGTGCGTGACTGGCGGCGCCGGCGCCGTGGCGGTCTCGTCGTCCTCTCCTCGCGTGGCGCTGTCTCCCGGCCGAGGCCTGGGCGGACCGCCCCCCCTGGGCGGCGCGCGGGCTCCGCCGGGGGGCGGCGGAGGTGGCGCGGGGCTGGGGGCCGGCGCGGCGGCGTCTCGGCGCAGCAAGGCGCGCCGGCTGGCGCGACGGAACGCCGTGAGCGAGCGCTACCGCATCAAGTACCAGCGCCTACGCCGCCTCGTGCGCACCACCATCTTCGTGAGTTGCTTGGCCCGGCATAAACGAATGCTGGCACCGGTCACCAGATTGGTGTTCGACCAGTATCTTAACTCGCTTTACAGGCACGTTGGTTATGTTTAATTCACGTGGGGGGGTGGGGTGGGAGTAAGGTAAACTCATGTTGTGTGTCCGGGCTCGTGGGGAGGAGCGGTGTGTATGTTTGTGTGCATGCTTGTGTGGGGAGGCGGTAGTGTAGTGGTTTGCAGGGTATGCTGCTAACCCCGCAACCCAAGTTCAATTTCCGACCGTCACCAGTGAGGAATATCTAAACTAGTCCTAGGTCCAATCTCTGAAAATCTGGTGCAGGGTGTAAACATCATCATTGGAAGACAAAGGCAGCTGAGCGTACCACGTCTACTGTGCCGGCCTTCATAGGCGCTCATTGACAGCACTGTCGCCAATGGCTTGTGGGTACTACACGGGGCGATCTTTGTGCGCTTGTGTAGGAGAACGCGGCGCTGTGTGACGAACTGGCGCGGGTGGAGGGATGCCTCGCTGGAGCCAAGGAGCAGAGAAGGTGCCCACTCACGCATCACTCGGCGCCAGCTGATGGGCCCAGGCACACACGTGGGCAGCAGTTGCATGAGCGAGTTACAGCCGCAACGCGTTCACCGCACGTTGCGGAGGTTCACTGTTCAAATCCAGCAGGCCACCCTGGTTGTTACCGTGGTGTTTATTCACCATTTACGAAACGTTCAAGATCCCGGGACACCATTGTAAACGAGTTGGCCATTGTGTGGCGGCGTCCTGGTCAAAATTTTCAAATCTTAGCCGCCAATTACTCAATTGGGAATACACAAATCAGCAATCATTGCTCCCTACCAGACAGCGCTGCCTTTTCCCCACACGTAGACTTTGCATGCGGGTCAACCTCGCACATTACTGTTCAGTTTTGCAGAACTGTAAACAGGTATTGCAGGTGGTGTGGCATTGTCGGGAAGGATACTAACGTTTTCAAATCATGATTATCAGATCATTTGAGCATTGAGGCATTTGTGCTGGTCTTCCGTTTACAGCCCTGAGCCAGTGGTGGAAATTACACATTCCTATGGTGGGGGCGAGTCTTTCCATACAAAAGTCACTGTTGATGTCCCCACAAGGTGGTGCTCTTATCGATCATGGAGAGATGATGAGCCCAGTCAACTCCCCAAGCAGGAATTGAACTTGCTGCCTTCCTACTGCAAGCCGCTCACTCTGCCACCGCTCTACTGCACCTAGTCACAATTGTTCATCGACTGAAATTGATTCTTATGCTCAGAATAAATGAAGAGATGTGTGAGTGTCAGGGTGATTAATGTATTATTAATGCACATGATGTAATGTTAAAAGTACATTTAGTCAAGCAAAGCAAACAAAACACACAGTGGCACAGTGGGAGTGGTGGTGCAGTGGGAGTGGTGGTGTGATGGGAGTGGTGGTGCGGTGGGAGTGGTGGTGCGGTGGGAGTGGTGGTGCAGTGTTAAATTGCAGCTCATGGCCAACATCGGTGACTAATATCTGAACCAGCCTTAAATAAGGTTCAGTGTGTAAAACCTCGTTCGATGTGTCAAACAGAATTTGGAGACAAAGGCCGCCAGGCATGGTGCTGGCCACCCACCCGTTATTTCCCGTGTCAGCCTCAATGGTTGCTCGCTAACAGCACTTTAACCCACAGCTACCTGGGGGATCTTTGTCTTTGTGAGTTTAGGGTGCTGCTGAAGCGCTTCCTGCAGTACCAGGCTCTGTATGAGGGCACCGACCCCGCAGCCTCGGCCTCCCCCACTGGGGTCACGGTGGGGGGCCTCGGGGCAGCCCCCCCATCCGCTCACTCGCCCCCCACGACCGCCGGGCTTCCCCCAAGCGTCGCTACGACGGCAGCCGTCGCCCCGGCGCTGGATGACCCCCCCGCGAAGAAACCCAAGCGGGTGAAGAAGGAGCGGACGAAGGAGAGGGGCAGGGAGGATGACGAGAAGGGTGAGCGTCCACTCGGCTCTTCATCCAAGATGAATCCTCTGCCTCCCAAGCCACGTGTGTCATTGGGGTTGTGTGATGATACTTCACCACGCTGGTCGGGGTGTGTCGGCGAAGTGGGGTGATTGACACACGATCAGTTGAGATATCACTTTGCACTGATGTCAGGTGTGACCAGGAATCGAAATTAGGTCGCCAGGTTTCGCAGAACGGTCAGAAATCCACGGCACCACCGATCCACCCCGAAACACCTCGTGCCGAGGAGATGGCTGGATAGGGCCCACGGCCTTGTATTACACGGCCCGTGGCCACAAGAGACACACCCCTTTTCGAAAGGGCCCACAAGCAATGTTTATCCAACGCTGCGAGCGTCTTATCGAGTGCTGGACAGGAGTATTTTCAGACCTGGCAACAACGCAGTGTTTGTAAAGTTCACGCCGCACTCAGTCCTGGTTGCCACTGCAAGGACATGTTACAGGGACAAGTGAGTGAGGTGTGTGTGTGTGGTTAACCACCAGAGGTAATTGAAAGTCCTAATTGGCTCCATAGTAAGAAATCACAGCCTACCCCTGTCATTGTGTAATTTTCAGCGAGCGAGCGGTCTGGTAACGGACCTTGAGGATGCTTTATCATTATTAGCATTGTCATTTTTTCGTGTTATGTATCAGAGTCTTGCCTCAAACTAAGACCTATATCTAGGAGAGAGTGGACTTCCCTATAAACATCAGCATTGGTCTCAGTGAGCCTGACTGCTGGGGAGGCACTGAACGTCGAAACGGTGCACAATTGTGCTTGTGTTGAACCATTGCTGCTGAAATGATGCACTCCGAGGAGGCAGTGTGGCTTATAGGTTGTTTCTGAATGTTTCTATTCCGCACCTCTGATTAGCATGGTTGGCTACGTACAATGCGAAAGAAGTTTACCGTGCATATGTAGAGAGATTGATATATACGAAGGAGACGTGGCTTGCTTATTTTGTCAATTATTTTTTGTGTCTGACCCTGGGGCGAGTGGGGGGTTTGATGCAATCTGCCGGCTGCACGGGGCCTGAAGGCCTCCGGGAGGGCGGCACGGAGGCCGGTGGAGCGGAGGTTTGCGTGGTGGCCGAGGCGAAGGCTTGCCAACTCTTGAGTTCAAAACAAACGCGACTTGTCATGGGTAGAAGAGAGTCCCACGAGACCTGAAGAGGGGAGAGCTACATGTGAATTCATTGTGTTGGGTGGTGGATCATTATTATTGTGCAACTTACAAACAACTGGAGCTTTGAATGTCCTGGGAATACTGACATATCCGAGCTGCCTCAAAAATAGAACAATGCTTGGAAAACCAGGACGGGTGGTAACCGTGTCTCCCCTCTGCGTCTCTCTCATTGCGGCGGCCATGATTCAGGCTCGAAGGGGAAGGCCTCGAAGCGGAGGAAGGGCGGCGAGGGCCCCACGCGCCGCCTCGTGCAGCCGATCCCGCTCGACCAAATGGGCCGGCCAATCTTCCCCATCGCGCTCGGAGACCTGACCATCTACAGCCTCGGAGAGGTGCGGCCGCTCGCAAGGCCACGTGGCTCACTTACGCCTCCATTGTTTGGTTTTCTGGCTGTGCCGCATGTTGCTCGGCACGGGTGTCCGACGTTTCGTGCCACGTGCTTCGAGCTGCAGAGCCGAAGAAGCTCCCAGCACGTGTAGCGCACCGTCGGGCATCGTGCCGAGTTAAACGTGGCACAACCCTCAAGCACGTCGGAAACTTACGCGGCACAACCGACAAAACCTGCTCAGTAGAACTTATTCCAGCGGCATGCACTCGTATTGTAACAATTCAACAAGTGACGTTGACTTTATTTACGTAACTTCTTCCACAATTATGCCTTGATTATGCTCGCATAGTCCAGTCAGAAGTCTCGCAGAGCTGAGTGTTAAAAGAACGGCAGGCAGCAGCGAATACTCCTGAGCTTCCTCTTCTTCAAGCGAACTCCGTTCAAGACAGAAGGGGGCAGCACTATTCCACCAGCCCTGCCACGCAGTCATGTTCGTCATGTGACACTCATTACTTGAAGTCACACAGATGGAATGTACACAGATGAAGAGGAGAACCAAATTTATTGTGATGGGTTTTTTGGGCAGCCATTGTTGACCTGGCTGTAGTGTTACTGTAGTGCTGTTTGGCGAATGTTGTTCGTGTAATGTGTTTTTCTATATATAGTGTTATTGTCGTGTCAGCAGAGTATTATTGTATTATTGGCGAATGTTATTAGCGTAGTATTAAACCAGCATAGTGTTGGTCTAGTGCAGCGTTAGCTCGCGTTCTTAGCCTCGTATAATACCAGCAGAGTGTTGAGTGCAGCGTTAGCTTGTGTAGTGTTGTTGGAGGTATGCAGTCAACAATGCTTGACTCAGGGAGGAGGACGCCCCTGCCATGCATAGTCCCATGGGATGTTGGCTATCAACAACAAGGCAACTCCTATGACTAATTGGGAATGGGATGCAAGCGTAGGATTGATCACCCTGTCGATGGCCGCCTTTGGGGAGGGTGTATAATATGAAAGGCCGAAACACCCTAGGACCCAAAGGTTCACTACTGACGATGCGCTCCCCAAATTTCACCAGGCTCACTGTTCATGAACTCTTGGAAGTGCTTGCACAAAGGATAGTAACATCTCATCCTGTGTTCTTTGGAATTTGGAATTTGCCGGCGGGTTGGGTTGTGGTGGTCGTGGACCTGCGTCTCCGTCGTGCTTGTAGATCGTCACAGACCGGCCGGGCTTTCACGACGAGAGCCACATCTACCCCGTGGGCTTCTGCAGCACGCGGACGGCGGGCAGCCTGCGCCACTGTGAGCTCACCTGCCTCTACACCTGCCAGATCAAGGACGGGGGCTTCGGGCCCCAGGTGAGGTGCACGCCGGCTTCTAAAGGGAGAGAGGCAAAAATGTTAACGTTTAAGGTTTTATAACTCCGCGCCGCACAGCTTTCTTATATTCAGAGGCGCAGGAAACGACAGAGAAGCGTGAAGGCAGCCAGAACCCGGCGCCACGAAATATGTTGTGGCCAAAAAATGGGATCTTTGGCCAACTGTTGTCCGTGTGGGAGGAAACCGCAGTATCCGGAGAAAACCCACAGACTCTTGTGAAAGAGGGAACATTTTTCGATTTAAAGCTTTCGTGACTGCAGGGATTCATCTTCTTGGTTCTTTCGGTAAAGTCACGTAGAATGGAAACAATAAAAATAATAAAATAAAACATAATAAAATTATTCTCACGACGTTTCGGCCACAACGCAAGCAGCCGTCATCAGGTGAAGACCAGGTCTGTCGGGGAGACAGCGTCCATTGCATGCAATCCCCATGCAATGGAAACAAAGATGACGCTACCTCCTGTACCATCACCTCCTGGCGAGCCATTGTTAGCTCCCGTTGTTAGCTTCGTCTTCTCTCCCGGTGACCCAGAGGTGGCGACTTTGTAAAGCGCCCTGCGGAGCCTTGACGAACAAGGATATTGTGATTGGTTATCCTGGTTGCTGCGGTCGCTGTGGTTGTTGTGTGGGATGCACGTGCATGCTGACGTGTGTGGGTCGTGCCCCCCCCTGCTACCGCCCCCCCCATCGCCGGGCCGGCGTTAGTTCGAGATAGTGCCGGAGGACGACCCCCAAAACCCGATCGTGGCGTCGTCGGCGTCGGCGTGCTACGCCAACCTGATGAGAGCCACACTCGCCGCACGGTGACGATCACACGCACGCTCACCACGCTTGTGTGCGTCAGTGAACACACACGCAACAAAGATTCCCCGAATATCCTGAACAGACTGTTGGGGCAAGTGCTGTTTGTGAGTAGAACCCATGAAGGTCGGCACGGCACACGAGAGGGTGGGTGGCCAGCAACACTCCTGGCCACCTTTGTCTTCCCAGTGGCGATGTTTGCACACTGCACGGGGTACTCATTTGAGGCTTAGTCGACCTAGGGGAGGCCCAGGACGGGCTCCGATAATCGTGGCTGTGAGCGGGAATCGACCTCGTATTGTGCTAACCACTACACTCCCCACTCACACACACACACTCGCTTACACACTCATGAACACTCACACGCTCATTTATGCATTCACTCGTACATACGAATGCCCGCTCACGCACATGCTGCCCCCTGGTCACGCGGCATGGAGCCCCCCTGCCCTCTCCTCCCATCTCACATCTGCCGTCTCACATCTCCCGTGTTCCCTGGGACAGAGGGAAGTCCGTTCCTGCCGTGAGCTCCTCCGGGCCGGAGTTCTTTGGCTTCTCTCACCCGTCCGTGCAGCACCTCATCCAGAGCTGCCCCGGCGCACGCAAGTGCAGCAGGTCAGAGGGATCGATCCCGCCCCCTCGCTCGCCACTCCATTCCTCGTCTCGGCCACTTCCGAGTCTTTCCGCAGCGCGTCCTGCGCAAGCCCAATTAGCGTTTCTTGACTGACCGGTGCGGTGAGGTACGGTCGTGTATCTTTTCTCCCCCGGTGGCGGCGCAACGTGAAATGCGGTCTGCGTGCCGCAGTAAACGCGTGCCCTGCTAGAGATGTGCCGAGACTCGGGTGGGTCAAGTCGGCGATGGAGAAACTTTGCAATCGGTAATGGTGACAGAACAAGTGAGAGAAAGTTGATACGGTGCCTAGGTTCATCATAATGGTCATGATTTGTTTTTGGTGGAGCCGTCCACATTTACGTCGAGGCTTTTCAGAACACTTGACATCTCATCGCAACACATTTTTAAAAGGGCTTCCCCCTCGTGGCAGCTATCCCTGTGTGCCACAAGGTGACTCGGCACCTGACCTGCAAGCGGCCATTAGTCTGCCAGGAGGGGCCATAATTACCACCTGGAATCCCAGTTGAGTGAATTGTCAACACGTTAAGCAATAGCTGGGGACACACATATATATATATAGCCGCTCTAGCCATTATGTCCTGAATTCGTTCAGAGCTGGTTCTGGTAGCCTTTGTTCACATTATGATTTGTATCAAATGGAATGCTGTGATGTGGGGTGGAGTGGTGGCGCAGTAGTTAGCACAGCGAACCCAGCGACCAGAGTTCCACCGCATTTTGTGTCTGACGTTGCTTCCCCCGAGATCAGGCGTCGGCAACCCTTTTCCCCCGGAGCCGCATGCGACGCTTCGTGACGAGACCACCTTCTCGTTTTCACACGGTGCATTGCGGCTCTTGAAATATGGAGTTGTTGCTGAATTCGAAAAAAATTTATCTTGTTGATATTTGTATTGCCGACCCCTGCCCGAGGTCAATATAGTCTGGTGCGGTGTGTAAGCATCAGCACTTTGGGAGACAAGGACAGTTGGGCATGGTGCTGGCCACCCACACACGCGTCTGCAGTGCCAGCCCTCGGCTGCTCACTAACAGCACTTGCCCCAACAGTGTGTTAAGGTTGTACGGGGGTCTTTGTCTTCATGGCGTGTCAACGCAGCTATAAGTGGGTGCGGTTCGAGGTGTGTCGGGCGAGCCCGGGGGCTCGGAGCTCTGGAAGCAGCCGCCCGGCGGGGGGCATGCGGACCTTGGGGGTCCCCCCCCCACAGGAGAGGGAGGAGGGGGAGATCACCACTCCTGGTGAGCGCCCACGCATGAACCCCCCACACCACCACGACAGACGCACAAACACACCACCACCCCCCACTCATCTGCAGTCGTGTTAATTCTGCTCTTTGGACTCTTCTCGCTCCAGCGAGCCACATGAGGGCTGGGCTGTGCTCTACTAATTACCGCTAAAATTAGTCCACTGATCGGGTAACGATCCAGTCTAGTAATCGAAGCGGTGATGCGCACGCACACACACACGCACACACGCACAAACACGCGCACACACACACACGTGTGGCCTGGCCAGCCTGGGGAGAAGTGGTCTTGATTGGTCACGGGTTGGGGGAGCACTCATCAATAAGGTTGAGGAGCACTGCCCTGGACCGAGATCTCTGATGTCGGCCTCTCCCCGTCCGTTCCCCCGGCACCGCCTGCTGCTGCTGCTCAGTGGGCGCAAGCATGCGGCTTCACGTGAGTGCAGAGGACTCCATCAGCAGCCTGCGCTCGCTGCTGGCCACGGCGGGACACAGCACGGCCCTGCTGTGTAGTAAGCCATCTCACTCGCGCACAAGCACTCACACTCGCCTGGCTCACACACACACACTCGCCCATTCATACTCTCGCATACACGCACTCACACTCAAACCCACTCACACACGTGAACTCGCTGACTCACCCATCTCACTCGCATGCGCTCGCTCATCTCGCTCACACATGCTGTGAGCGAGCACCTCCGAAGGCCCCCATGGCACACGATGCGGTGGGTGGCCAACACCATGTCCAGCAGCCTTGGTCTCCCCAATGCTGATGTTTTAAACACCAAATCAGGCTCTCATTTATGGACGAATTGACCAGTTAAGATATTCGACGCTGGTGTTGGCCATGAGCGGGAATCGAAGTCAAGTGCTGAGTACAGTGTATGCATCCGCTCCTGCATACATGCGGTGCATACACACCTACACACATATCACCATCATCATTATCAGCTATGTTCTTTCTTCCCGCTGCTGCACATGAGCCGATCTCATTGCTGCACCTCCCACCTTTGTCATCCTCTTGTGTGCGATCCATGCCCTGCCCGACACTCCCTTTCCTTGTCACTGTAATTCCTGATTTGTGTAAATTGTTCTCCAATCCATGTTCCTCAGGCAATTTAATTCCAAACATGCAGTTTTCTGTTTTACATTGAACACTGTTCAGTGTTTGTTTCAAGTTCTTTGAATAGTGTCTGGGTCTCAAATCCATGTGTCATAGTGGGTAACGTGCACGGTGCACCGATTGAAAATATTCCTCTTTTGGCAAATTATGTTGATTTAACTGTCAAGTTCAATATTCACACGTGTAAATAAGTACACCAACACATGCAACTCCGATCATTGGGTTCGCAGTGCAGTGTGCTTACCACTACTGCCTCTTCCCACCTATCACTCACCAATTTTAAAGATGCCCTTTTCCAAATCCTCTGGCACCACAACACACTCGCACACAGTTGGACCCACTGCCATCCAGCCACCACACATACCTGCACACGGGAAGTGTAAATATTCACACCGACCCCCCCCCCCGCCATGTCACCCCTCCCCCAGTGACTCCCTCGAGCCAGCCCCCCCCCCCTCCCCCCAGCGCCACCCTCCCTCCTCCTCCCCTCGGGTCTTCGCTCCGGCCAAGCCCAGCGAGTGAGCGGTCACCACGACGATGGTGAGTGGGTGACATCAACGCCCGCCTCGTCTGGACCCTCCTCCTCCTCACCTTGAGACTGGGGACGCATTTGCGTCAGAGGACTCGCTCACCCGGGAGACGCACTCACTCGCTGTCTCACCTGGGGGAGACGCACCCACTCGCTGTCTCACCTGGGGGAGACGCACACACTTGCTGTCTCACCTGGGGGAGACGCACACACTCGCTGTCTCACCTGGGGGAGACGCACACACTCGCTGTCTCACCTGGGGGAGACGCACACACTCGCTGTCTCACCTGGGGGAGACGCACCCACTCGCTGTCTCACCTGAGGGAGACGCACCCACTCGCTGTCTCACCTGAGGGAGACGCACCCACTCGCCCGTCTCATTCGGAGGTGCACCTGGAGACGCCTCGCCCGGACACACGTCACCTGGGGGAGACTCGCCCACCCGCCTGTCACGTGTTGTCCAAGCCTCTTCATCCGTCTCACCTGGGAGACCCACCGGGAAGATCCACTCACCAGCTCCCTCTCCGCCTGCTACCTGGAGGACCCTCTCTCTGTACACCCCCCCTGACACCCTCAGCATCTCAGGTTTCCATCTTGAAAGTTCTACACCGAGTCCCTATTACCCCCGTCCTGACAGCGCTCTGGACTCGTGCTGGTGAATGGGGTGAGGGACGGACACCCTGTGCACGCCGCATTGTCTTTTATTGCTGCGTACCGTGGGAAGCCGGCGCATGCACACGGCGCCGCTGCCGGGAGCGGAGCGGCGGCTGCGATCTCAGTTCCAGACGAGGGCGATGTTGCGCGGGCACCGGTGCTGTCGCGATATGATCGTTCACGATACCAAACTTCATGACATGACGATTACAATAAAAACAATTTAGAACGTACGCATTTCACAAAGTCAAATCTCCAGTCGGGACCGAGAGGTGCGCAGCCAGGCTCGGGTTCCTCGTACGCCAGAGGAAACGGAGGACCCCATCCTTCATACGTCTCTGAATAGTGGCGCAGGACGAGACGCTGGCGCAGCACGAGACGCTGGCGCATGCGCGCAGTGGGGTGCCAGGACAGGGTCGTGGCTTGGGGGACGGCGAGCGAGCAGAGGCCACCGTGGCAGGCGGTTGACCTGAGGCCTGTGTTTCCCATAGCTCTGTAATGATTACTATGCTCATGTACCCAGGAATGCCTTGGGAGGAGGGTCCTGCCATGTTGTTGAGTGGGGGCGATGTTGCTATTTAAACCCATTTGAAGTTCATTTTTCAGCAATGGGATGTTTGTCCAATACGAGTTACATTCCAAGTGTTTTAGTTTGTATTTCAGTATTGTATTGTTTGTGCTTTGATGTACTTTAAGTATCCACAGATTACTTTAAGGTTCACTTCACATAATCCTGCCACGAGTCTTACAATCATTGCGACTTTACAACTGATCTGGTGAGCATACAACGCACGTGCTACCAGTTGCAACAAAATAGTGAATGAACGATGAAACTAACCACATAGCTGCCTGCACTAACTTCAGGAGTTGATTTGGAAAGCACTAATTTAATGGGTAACACCTATCACGATGTTACAAAAATATATAATCAGGATAATATTTATTTTTAAAGGAAATAGTGGTATTCACATTGGAATGAGGATGCAGTTATCGTGGATCTTATATCGTACGATGTGTCAAAGTATCGCCACATGGAAACCCGAGCAAGTAAGCATACTTGTGTGCACAAAGCTATGCAGCCAGCAACAAGCGGCACTATCGAAGTTGTAATCGGTGAAGTTAGCATGTTTATTGAATTGAGCAAGATTATTATAATGGTCAAGAGCTTCAGAAAGAGACGATGGCAGGAAATTCCAAAGTGGAGCAGCGCAAGGCAAGAAGCGGCGAGAGAAGCGTGACCGGCGGTGCGGGGAGCGAGTTGCTGTCGGTGGCAGTGGGGTGGGTAGGTGAGCACAGTGCGTAGGGGATTCAACAGCTCGCTAACAGCACTTGCCCCAAGTCTGTTGAAGGTGACACGGGGTGGGAGGGGGGTCTTGTCTCAGTGGCAGCGGTTTGTTGTGAGCTCGGATATAAAGTAAAATAACATGGTTACATTCGGTTATAATATCGATTTTTTTTTTGTCAGGTGAAAAACACTTCATTTTTTTTGTTCCTGGGTAATAAGTTTTATTTCCTAATTGCTTATGCCTCAAAAGTACAGAAAATGGCTATTCCCACAAACTTTGCTTTTGTGCCTAGGACAGTGATATTTTGAAATGTACCTATTTTCCAGAACATTCCAGACAGATTCAGTGCTGAGTAAACTTGAAGTAACTTCTAGAACATTCTAGAACGTTCCAGTAATATAAATAGTATAAATACAGGGGCCTTAAGCCCACCAGTTCAGTTTAGTTCCAGCTGCCTAAGTGGATACATGTCTGCATTTTTCTGATATGGTATCGAGGGGCTGCAAGCATCCGGCAGACGCTTTTGGCTGTCTACGGACAATTTATCAAGACAAGAATGAGAAAGTGCTCTGTGGAAGCATCTGCTGAGATGTGCAAGGCCTCCAATGCATATTTCGGCATGCCTGTCGGGGATCAAGACAAACCCTGGTCACCTCATTTCACCTGCAAGCAATGCAAAAAAACTCTGGCAATTGTTGCTCAGAATTTTGTTACAAAGTAAATTTTTCAAATTGTAAAAGTTTAATTTTAAAATGTTGTACAATTTTCAATTTTATTGAAAAAATATATGAAAAATGTTGCAAGAATCTCTTACACATTAGCCATGGGTGAAATAAATGTACTTTTGTAGGATGGTAAAGAGGGGAAGAAAGCCATCAGTTAGCTATCCCAATCATTTGTCGGGAAACCACTGACCACTCAAGCAACTGCTACTTCTGCATGGTGGACCCTTCCAAATGTAGGACTGACAAGAATGCACCTGCTATCACGTATTTGAGACCTTCCATCCATCGCCCCGGTGCCAAACTGCCATGAGCTCCCAGTACCCACTCTGGAGAGAGAGCAGCCGTCTTTGGAAGAGAACAGCAAGTCAGAGAGCGAGGAAGACGTAGATCCAGATGACAAATTCTGAGGTAGAGCTGAGGAGAGAAACCCATACTACCCCAACCAAAAGACCTCAACAACTTGATCAGAGATATTGGTCTCAACAAGTCCAATGCCGAGCTTTTGACATCTTGGCTCAAGCAGTGGAACTTGTTGGATGAAAGTATGCAAGTTGCAGATCAGAGGAAGCGTCACCAACCTTTTTTGCAGCTTCTTCACCTGTCAAGATGGGCTCTGCTTATGCCACAATGTGACCAGTCTGTTCGAGGCAATCGGAATCGCCTGCAACCTGAATGAGTGGCGCCTCTTCATGACAGCTCATCCAGGAGCGTCAAAGCCGTGCTATCTACGTGGCTTTACCAAAAGACCCAAAGAATATTAATTCCTGCAGTCGCGAAAGCTTTAAGTCAAGATTACAACAGCATTAAGACCTTGCTGGACGCCTTGAAGGAGGATTACAGCTGGGAGGTCATCAGAGACTTCAAAATGGTGGCATTCCTGATGGCTCTCCAAGGTGGTTTTACCAAATTCCCTGCTATGGGACGGCAGGGACACCAAGGCGCACTACCACAGGTGGGACTGGCCACAGTGGACCGAGTTCTCTGTGGGGAGGAACAAGGTCAAGTGGGAGCCACTGGTGGACCCCTGGAAGGTGCTGATGCCACCACTGCACATCAAATTGGGCCTTATGAAACAATTTGTCAGCTGTAGATAAGGAGTCTGCAGCCTTAAAATACCTGCAAGACTTCTTCTCTAAGCTGTCTGGGGTAAAGGTCAAAGCCTATGTCTTCATCGGACCACAGATAAAGACGATCCCAGGGTGCAATGCATTCCCCAAGAAGCTCACTAGTAAGGAGAAAGTGGCTTGGAACAGCTGTCGCAGTGGTTCGTGGCTTCCTGGGCAATAGCAAGGTCGAAAACTATGTGGAGCTGGTTGAGACTGGTGAAGAACTATGGCATAATGGGCTGTAGGATGTCCCTCAACGTCCATATCCTTCATGCTCATCTTGATAAATTCAAGGAGAACATGGGAGGGTACTGGGAGGAGCAAGGCGAGCGCTTCCACCAGGATATACTGGACCTTGAACGCCGCTACCAAGGACAGTAGAACGAGAACATGGGAGACTACATTTGGGGGCTGATTCGTGAAAGTGATTTACAGTATAATCGTAAATCTAAAAAAACTACTCACTTCTAAATCCTTTGTACTCATTTTTATATTACTTTAGTATAAATACATGTTCATTTTGATTCAAGATTTTTTATGACTTCGTGAATGAAAAGACAAATTTGCCCGTTTTCTCATTGAAAAATAGGTAAATTTCTTAATATCACTGTCCTGATCATAAAAGCAAAGTTTGTGGGGAATAATAGCCAATTTCTATACTTTTTAGACATAAGCAATTAGGAAATAACACTTACTACCCAGGAACAAACATTGTGTTACATAGTGAAATCATTGGGGAGAATTCCCACTTTCCTTTTTTACATAAACAGATATACTAGCTTGCCTACCCGGCTTCGCCCGAGACTTGGATTCTTGTTTTGGATTAATACACGGAGGGTGGGGGGTGACGTCAGCAGGCACACTGCGTGGCGCTGCCGCATGCGGGTGACATCACAGATGTGACATCACCGTTCACTTTCCGTGCAAAACATATCCATTAATACAAAAGTCTACTTTTATACTTGTTGCATTGTGTACAGTCAGGAAGCTACCCACATGCCAAATTTCAAGTGTGTTGCATTTTGGGAAGTATGCTAAACATTTCGAACAGACACACACATTCACAAATTTCCATTTTATATATAAACAGTTCACCTAAACACAGCAGAGGAATTAACATTTTATTGAAAAATAAAGATTAAAAAAAGTATGGCTCTGTCCAAAAACATAGAATGTTAGCATGCCCAGTTTTTAGGCAAAAATAATTGTGAAACGTTCCACTTTAAGGTGCAGCAAGGTGGCCTTAGAGGAACGTAGCGATGGCTGCAATGCAGAACGAGGGCTGTGTACCAAATCTAAGTGGGGTACCTGTAAATGGATCACCCTGGATATGTACAATGTGTGTCCATGAATTACAAAAACAACTTCCTCCGGTGATGATCAGATGCACAACGAAACTTCACCCATCCCCTCCTGTAGCACAGGGGACCCGACACTAGATCCAAACAACGAGACCCCCTAGGACCCCAGCGATCATTAAACTTAACATGTTTACAATCATAAGTCAATAATTATAACAAGCGCAATTCCCAGTAAGATTCCCCAAACCTTCAGAGTAACATATTACATAGTCTCATGCAGATGAAGCGAATGGTTTGGGTGACACTAAGATTTATGGTAGAGGTAGAGTTGGGGTTAGATTTGGGGTTAGAGTTGTTGGGGTTTGTTCCCTGACACTGCTTAGGGGGTCCCCTTGCACCACAAATCCCGTACTGTTAACAGAGCCGACAGCCAGACTACGAGTTATACACAAAACCGCGAGTACAGCTTATACATGTTCTACGTTGCATACGCGTTACATATACAAGTGGAATTAAAATCTCCACAGCCACCCTCATCCCCACCACCACCACATACCCTTTTCCAAACACAGGGGACTCGAAACGCGTCAAATGTTCGGAAGTGGTTCGGAATGTAACAAACACACGCATTGGCACCGACGCACACACACGTGTAACTCCAAAGACAAAGATCCCCTTTATAGCCTTAACAGACTGTTGGAGCAAGTGCTGTCAGCGAGCACCTATGACGGCCAGCACGGCACACGATGGGGTCGGTGGCCACCACCACGCCCGGCTGCCTTTGTCTCCCTCGGGGCGATGTTTACACATCGCACCGGGTACTTATTTTAGGCCAAGTCAACCTTGGGAAGGGCCAGGTTCGGTTCAGATAATAGTCAACGGTGTTGGCCGTTAGCGGAAATCGAACTCGGTCGTCGGGTTTTTAGTGCAGCGCGCTGACCACTCGACGACCGCACGCATCGGTGCACGCGCGCACACTGCACGCCCGCACACTGCACGCGCACCCACGTGCGTGCGTGCTCAACATCACACCCGCACACAAGCATGGACGCACACACTCATACACACGTGGAGAAGTTCACACACACCCATGCACAACTCTGCACATACACAATAAAACAATCACAAGCATGTCTGGGTAGCTGCCTGCACAGAATGGAAACTTCCCCTCTCCATGTATTCATCGTTGGATGCAGTGGCCAGGTGGCTCGAGAGGGTCAATGCATTAAGCCAGCATCACTGAGAAAATAGATTCTGATCCCAACAGTGTAGCGGCCAGGCCACAAATGATTGCGGACAAAATAAATAAAATAAAAATTTGTTCTGGACTTAATTTGGCAAGGTTCCAGCTCTGAGAATCACAAAGCGCAGTTTGACCGTCATGCACCACCCTGCAAACGTTCTGCATGGATTCTCCATCTCATGGCCATGCCATGTATTTTTTTGGGTAAATATTTGTGTTTTATAATCACAAGGACAAAGACCCCCCCCCCCCGGTATAGCCTGAATAGACTTTTGGGGCAAGTGCTGTTGGCGTGCAGCGATGAAGGCCGGCACGGCACATGAGAGGGTGGGTGGCCAGCACCATGCCCAACCACCTTTGTCTTCCCAAGTGGCAATGTTTACACATTGACACCAGGTATCCATTTGAAGCCGAGTCAACCTAGGGGACGCCCACGACCAGTTCAGATAATCGCCACTGGTGTTAGCCATGAGCGGGAATCAAATTCTGGTTGCCGAGTTCGTATCGCAGCGCACTTATCGCTGCGCCATGGCTCCCCACACACACGCGCACACGGATCTAAGAATCACACGCAGGCACAAACCTCTCCGACACCTCCCGACCCCCGTCACACGAGGGTAAAGTCCCGACTGCTCCCCGCGCCGTTGCGGGCAGGTGCCGCGTACCCATTAGGGGGCTCCCCGGACCCCCCGCGCGAGGGCTCCGGCGAAACCCCCGGACGTAGGACGATCCCCCCGCCCCCTCTTCCCGCCGTGCCCTGCTGGGCCCCGGAGTACCCGGGGTACCCGGGGTACCCCAGCACGGAGCCCCCCGCGCCCCCGCCGCCCCCCCCGCCCCCCGCTCTGCCGTTGCTCCCCGTCGACTCGGGGATGGTGGAGAGGCGGACGTCGCCCGCGGCGACGGCGTGGCCCGGGCCCGGCCCAAACGAGACGGTGGGGCCTCCTCCTCGCTTGGAGGTGGTGGCGACGGCGATGGGGGTGGCGGCGCCGGTGGTGGAGGAGGAGCGCACGGAGCTCTGGGCGGAGCCGCGGGCCGCGTGGAGCGCGGACTTGGTGGCGGCGACGGAGGAGCGGTTGGAGGTGCGGCTGGAGGGACGCAGGCCCAGGGCGGAGCGGATCGAGCCGGCGGAGAGCGGGTTGTAGCGCGGCGGGTGGCACGAGTAGACGGTGTAGCGGTCGGGTGGCATCGCCGACACCATGGAGGAGCGCACGCTGCCGGACGCGGAGCGCGGAGCCGCCACGTCCTCACTGCGCACACACACACAGAGCCCCCCCACTGAA